AATATTCCCTGTTTACCTTATTTAAAGTGGGTTCCCCTGGCTCCCTATCTCAAACTAGAGTTTCTTTACTTCCTAGCAATTATAACAATCAGTAATTCTTTGTTTACTTGATTTTCTTAGCTTGCCTTACTAGATAATAAATAACTGGATGAACCATATCTGTTTTATTTACTTTTATGTCCTTAACAGATATATTATTAGATAAAAATAATAGATAACTGCTTTTAAAAGTGCTCTGATTATATTTGAAGTTGAAATATGGTCAAACATTTATTAAGCAATTATTTATTAAGCATCCAGGTGTAAAGCATTGTGTTAGGAACAGGAATTCCAGAAATTAAAATTTCAGTCTCTTGCACTCAGTGAACTTAGAGAGTATGATGGGGAAGACAGACAGTTAAAATGCAATTAATTCTTTCATTTGACAATGCTATTGCATGCTGCCATGTTTCAAGCCCTATGCTATGTGCTGACACAGATACTGAACTTATGATACTTAGCATCTGATAAGCAATTCAGAAAAGTAAATAATTACAATTTAGTGAGGTAAATCCAATGGTAAGGTTAAACTTAGAATTCCATGGGAAAACAAATTTATTTTTTGTATTTTTTAAAATCCTGGAACAGACATCTCTGTTTTAAAAAATTCATAGGTATAAGTTGTTTTATGCAGTTACATGCTGCACTATCAGCGACAGTTGCCTAAGTTGGCAGTTGTAGTGCACTGATACTCTGAAACTGAAAAATGCATGGCATAGTACTGTTTACTAGAAATATTTTAATGTCAAGACACTAATTTCTAAGATCAGAAAAAGTTTTATTCTTCAGAAAAGCATATATATAATAAATGGATGTAATCCATTTTAAATAACATGAAGAAGAAAGTAAACAATTTTTGTTAATAAATATTTTTCCCCATGTCTACCAAATAAATGTTAACTGGTTTTTAAAATACTGACTTAAAGTTACTCTTCTGGTCATTTGCTTCTATATAACAAACCACCTTAAAATGTAGTAGCTTAAAATAATTTATTAAAAATCTGTGTTGAATGGTTGAGCTGGACTTTCTTGGAAGTCTCATGCTATTGCATTCAGATTTGTGCTGTGGTTGGTGTTACCTGAAGATTCTACTTCCTTGGACATCCAAGATGGTTTCTTCAGTCACATGTCTTGTGCTTGGGCTGAGAAGGCTAGAACAGTTGGAACCAAGCCAATTATCTTTCTCCATCCTGTCTCTCCTGTTAGCTAGCTTGGGCTTCTTCAGTACAGTGCTTTCAAAATCACTGAAATTCTTCTATGGGGTCTGGCTTTTCCTGGAGTGAGCATTCCAGAAGACCAGGTTGGAAGCTGCAAAACTTCTGGGCTGGGAAGTCATGCAGTATCACTACCAAAACATTCTGCTGGTAATAAGAAAGTCACAGGGCCAGAATGATTAAAGGGGAGGGAACTACATGATCATGCTTCACTGGACATTATGTTTGGAGACTGACTATGGCTACCAGAGGAGTGCACTCATACTATCTGCTTGACACATGAGCTTAATCTCAAGAGCATATGAATGTAGAATTTGGAACTTTTTGAGTTGACTTTACCAGCTTCTGCTAAGCAAGCTGTGATTTCTTCCTCCTAACAGAAAATAGAATACTCTATTGTGACTCTATTTAATCCCTTTTGTTTTCTCTGTCTTCAAAGACTACATTAAGTACATTCACATTGTTGTACAACCAATATCATTATCCATCTCCAGAACTTTATCTTGCCCAACTGAAATTCTGTACCCATTAAGCACTAACTCCCCATGCTACCCTCCCCACCAGCTTGAATTGGTAACCCTCATTCTGCTTTCTTCTCTATGAATTTGAATACTGTAGGTACCTCGTTTAAAATGAAATCATACAACATTTGTCCTTTTGTGACTGGCTTATTTCACTTAGCAGAGTATTTCCAAGGTTCATTTAGGTGTAGCACGTGCCAGAATTTCCTTCCTAAGACTGAAAAATATTCCATTGTATGTATATGCCACATTTTGTTTATCCATTCATCCATTTATGGACACTTGGGTTGCTTCTACCTTTAGGCTATTATGAATAATGTTAACTATAAAAATGGGTATACAAATATCTGTTTGAACCCCTGTTTTCAGTCCTTTGGGATATAGTCCCTAAAGTGAAATTCTTTTATCATATGGTAATTCTGTGTTTACTTTTTTGAAGAACTAGCATACCAGTTTCCACAGCTGCTACACCATGTTACATTTCTACCAGCAATGCATAAAAGTTTCAGTTTCTCTACATCCTTACCAACAGTTCTTATTTTTTGTTTTGTTTTGTTTTTTTAAATAGTCATTCTAATGGGTGTGGTGTGGCATTTCATTGTGGTTTTAACTAGCATTTTCTTAATGCAATTTAACATCATTAATGATTAATGATATTGAGCATCTTTTCATGTGTTTGTTTGCATTTGTGTATCTATCTTTAGAGAAATTTCTATTCAAGCCTTTTTCCCATGTTTTTAAATCAGGTTGTTTTGTTGTTGTTGACTTGTTGGAGTTCTTTTTATCAATCCTTATTAGATATATGATTTGGAAATATTTTCTCTTATTTTCTGTGTGGCCTTTTCACTCTGTTGATAGTGTCCTTGGATCCACAAAAGTATTTAATTTTGATGAAGTTCAGCTTCTCTATTTTTCCTTTTGTTTGTGCTTTTAGTGTCATATCAAGGAATTATTGTCAAACCCAATGTCACGAAGCTTTTCCTATGTTCTGAGTTTTGTTTTAGTCTTATATTTGGATATTTGATTCACATTTTGATTCACATATATTTGGATATTTGATTCACATATATTTGGATATTTGATTCACATTGTAAGGTGGTTTGTTATATAGAAGCAAATGGGGTAATTTTTATATGTGCTGTTAGGTAAGAGTCCAACTTCGTTGTTTTGTAGTATCTGGGTATCCAACACTATTTTCTATAAAGATTGTCCTTTTCTCATTAGAGGGTTTTGGCATCCTTGTGGAAAATCATTTGACCATATATAAGAGGGTTTATTTCCAGGCTCTGTAATCTCTTCCATTAATCAATGTGGCCATCTTTATGCCAGTACTATACTGCTTTGATTACCATAAATTTGTAGTAAGCTTTGAAATAAGGAAGGGTGAAACATTCCATTTTGTTTTTTTTTTTTAATATTATTTAGCCTATTCAGTGTTCCTTGACATTTCATATAAATTTTAGAATGGATTTTTCTATTTCTGCAAAGAAAAAAAAATGTCATTGGGATTTTGAAGGGATTAAATAGAATCTGAAGATAGCTTTGAGTAGTGTAGACATCTTAACAATATTTTAATTCATGAACATGGTATGTCTTTACATTTATTTGTGTCTTTTACACAATTACAGTATAAATATAGTGATGTTTTACAGTTTTGGGTATATAAGCCTTTTACCTTCTTAGTTAAGTTTATTCCTAAGCATTTTTGTACTATTGTAAATTGAAATGTTTTCATTTCCTTTCTGGATTGTTCATTATTCATATATAGAAATGCAACTGGTTTATATGTGCTGATTTTGTATCCTGCAACTTTGCTGAATTCATTTATTAGTACTGGTTTTTGTGGAATCTTTGGGGTTTTCTAAATATAAGATTATGTCATCTGTGACTAGAGTTAATTTTACTTTTTCCTTTCCAGTCCAGATGCCTTTTTTTTTTCTTGCCTACTTACTCCAGCTACAACTTCTAATATTATGTTCAATCAAATGGTAAAAGCAATTTCTTATCATGACCTGGGGAAATTCTTGAAGGAGATTGTTTTGGGAACTAAAAAATCTCCCCCATCTCTGGCACTACATCACTATGTTCTACTTATCTCACGTGTTGAATGACTTGGAGATCTATAGTCCTCTATCACCTGGAAGTATATATAGTTCCCTTAATCTGAGCTATTCAGAGTAGAATATATTCTAGCCAGGAGAGGTCTTTAGAAAGATGGTTAACAGTAACCTATGGCACTAAAAATTCTAAAAGAGTTTTTACCAACCATCTCCTAACCCCATGCATTCTAAGGAGGTCCTTTTGGAAGTTTCTCTACCAGTGATTTGTAGGCTTCCCTTTTCATTTTTCTCATTTTCTAGCAAATAATTATTGAATCATACATGCATACACATGCACACACACAAACACATACACCACACACACACACACACACACACACACACACACACAAACACACACAGTCTTTCAAGGACAAAATTGATTTTTTAAACAGTACAGTTTAGAGAACATAAATTCAAGTGTCAGAGGGCAATCAGAAATAAATAAGAAATTTAAGAAAAATAAGAATGGCAGGGATTAGGGGCAGGTGTTTGGAGCTGTGTGTGATTGAGAGCCCAAATTCGCCAGATCTTCCAAACTGGAAATCCACATTTTTATGTAAATTTTCTGAATTTTTAGCACAGTTCCAACTTAATATGACACAATTTTAAACTTGTGATCCAAAAGACAAATAAAAATATACAATATTTTCTTGAATGCCTCATAATTTTCAAAGCTACTTCTTTCACCAGTACGGAAAATGGCATAGTTTTTTTTCGAAAAGGCTTTTTCCACAGCACAGTTTGTGAGGTGAGAATAGGTATGCAGACCTGCCAGAAATCAGAAGGGGCTACATAGGAGAATCTTCTCTTTGTTGCAAGAGACTTGGATGAAGTTCTGAAATTGCCATTTACAAAGAAGTAAGTCTTTGCCAACTGCCTGTTTAAAAAAAATTTAAATTTGTTTTTAAGTAAAATTTTGAAATATGAAAACATTATTATATAAAAATGCATCATTTTGAAACTATTTCCTAAACTTACTACCTATTTCTGTTACCTACTTTGTCTTAAATATAGAGCTTTTGAGGAGAAACGAAAAGAACAAGAAGAAAAAGAACACCAAATTAGAGAACAGATACTTCAACAAAGAAGACAGAAGTTTGAAGAAGTTACTGAAAAATTCCAGCGTGCCCATATTCCTCTTTCACAGCGGAGGAAAGCAGGTGCCTTAATTTCTAGAATAATATGAGAACAAAAATTAAAGTTTTAATCTCATTTGACTTGAGTATACAATAAAATGATAAATGAATAAATGAAGTGGAAACAAACTAAAAAGACCAATATGACTTTTGAGTAAAAGCACTTTAACCAAATGAAAAATAGTCATTTGATTTAGGTTTAATTTGGAGAATATTTTGTTGGCTGTTTTAGGTTTAATTCTGAAACTCACAAGTTTGATTTGACTTCCAGCTGGTTACAATGTTTTGTCTTTTTAAAATTGACTTAGTAAGTAGCTTAGTACAAAGAAAATTTGACTTTTGAGTTCAGAAAATTAGTGTCACATTTATTCTAGCATTTTTTAACAGTTTGGTTCAAATTCATATTTGAGACACTGGCAGAACAAAAAGAAAGTCTATAGAGTAATATAATCCAACAATATAACGACCTGGAACGAGTTAAGAATTTAAGTATGATTATGGTTGGTTCTTTTGTATTATATCTACATTTTTATACTTTAAATAGTAAGACAATTAACAACAATATGTCAGAGCTTCATAAAGAAAAGTGACAAACAGATCCTTTATGTATTCAGCAAACATATGGTATACTGTGTTGTACTTAGCCTTAGGCTAAGCTGAGATATAGATAAATCTAATTTCATTCTACCATTCAAGATTTCACAACCTGTTTTGGAGATGAGAGTAGTATAAACAATGTCAATAATGTAATGATAATTGCTATGGTAGCAGAGTATGTAAAGTGCCATGAGAGCATAGAGGAAAGAACACTAAACCTATGTCAGGACATCAAGGACATCATTCTTGGAAAAACGACTTAAGTCAGATCTTAACAAATGAGCATATTGCGAAGCAGACAGAAAAATAAAAGGACATCCCAGGCAACAGGAACAGCTTGTACAAATAAATTATGTATTTCAGTGTATCTGAAGCATAGGATGGTTGGGGAGAAGAAAAATGGATGTGAAGCTAGAAAAAATAAGAGGTAGCCAGTTCTCAAAGAGCTTTATATGTCATGCTAGAAATTTCATCCTTATGCAAAATCCAGTCCACTTACAGTATTTTTTAACAAGAAAGCAAGCCATTGCTGTGTTAGTAATAAATAGGACTGTTAATAAGGGCAACTAGTGAAACTGCACAAAACAACATTAGCTTAAATGTGTGTGATAGGAGTTTATTTTTCTCCTGGTTTTGAGGAGAAAACCAGAGCTGGTTTGATGATTATACTAAGCTGAGAGACAGAAGGATCATCTGTCACTTGGCTCAACAGTCTTTAGTGTACGGTTTATACCCTCACTGTCATGGTCATATGGTAGCTGCTAGAGCTCAACCATTATACCAGTGTTCTAGGCAGTAAGAAAGAACAGGAAAAAATGGGTGCACTTCTGAGATCTCCACTTGGCAACTTTATTTGCAAGAAAGTCTGAAAAATCATTTTTTTTAATGTGAGTATATTGCTAAGCCTAATTATATAGGGTCTGTTACCAAGTAAAAAAGGGAAAATGAATATTAGGGAGGGAACTAGAGGGCTCTGCTATAGTTAGATTTGTTAGAAAGATAATTATAGTTACAAGATGGACTATAGACTGAAGTAGACACTTACTAAAGTTAGTAGACTAGTAGGAAATTATTAAGTAATTATGGTAAGAGATGTTAAGCTCCTAAATTAAAGCAGTCCATTGAATGTAGAGATAAGAGATACTATATTTATTCTTTCTTTTTTTTTTTTTTTTTTTTGAGATAGAGTCTCACTTTTCTCACCCAGGCTGGAATGCAATAATGCAATCTTGGCCCACTGCAACCTCCACATCCTGGGTTCAAGCAATTCTCCTGCCTCAGCCTCCCAAGTAGCTGGGATTACAGGCACCCACCACCATGCCCAGCTACCTTTTGTATTTTTGGTAGAGATGGGGTTTCACCATGCTGGCCAGGCTGATCTCAAACTCCTGACCTCATGTAATGTGCCCACCTTGGCCTCCCAAACTACTGGGATTACAGGCTTCAGCTACTATGCCTAGCCAGAGATACTATATTCAAGAAATATAATCATGGCCAGCTGCACTGGCTTATGCCTGTAATCCCAGCACTTTGGGAGGTCAAGGCAGGCAGATGGCTTAAGAGCTCAGGACTTCAAGACCAGCCTGGGCAACATGATGAAACCCCATCTCTACAAACAATACAAAATTAGTCAAGCATGGTGGTACATGCCTGTAGTCTCAGCTACTGTGGAGGCTGAAGTGGTAGGATCACTTGAGCCCAGGAGGCAGAGGTTGCAGTGAGCCGAGATCACACCACTGCACTCCAGCCTGAGCAACAAAAACAGACCTTGTCTCAAAAAAACAAATAGATAAAATCAATAGGATTTATTTACTAACTTGATTGAGAGTGGTGAAAGAGGCTGGGCATGGTGGCTCATGTCTGTAATCCCAGCACTTTGAGTGGCCAAGGTGTCTGGACAACTTGAGATTAGGAGTTCGAGACCAGACTGGCCAACATGATGAAACGCTGTCTCTACTAAAAATAAAAAAGTTAGCCAGGCATGATGGTGGTGACTGTAATCCCAACTACTTGGGAGGCTGAGGCAGGAGAATCGCTTAAAAACCCAGGAGGTGAAGGTCAAAGTGAGTTGAGGCCACACCACTGCACTCCAGCCTGAGCGACAGAGCGAGACTCCATCTTAAAAAAAAAAAAAAAAGTGGTGGAAAAGAGGGGAGAAGGAAAGAGAACAGTGCCTCTATAAATTAGCAGAAAACCTTATTTTAAACATTCAATAAATACTTTTTAAATTAATTGATTACTTTGATAGACGCATCCTTTATGATGCAAGTATCAGCAGACTATCCCATAGCTTTGCATTCTTCTTCATGTAATCACCAGTTGATTAGGAAGTATATTGTCTCTAGAGTTCACATTTGAACTAACCCTTACATAAAAACATAATGTTTTTGCTTAAACATTTTAAGTAAATTAGAAATATTGTAATAATGGAAAAGTCTTATGACATGTTAGTGTTTTAAAGGAGAAAAGAGGAAAATAGTTTCGAAGTACCCATGAACAGCTAAAGCCAGAAAGTCACCCTAGGCCTTGAGTTATTCATAGTATATTATATACTGTAGATACCATGTATAGATAGGATAGTATATTTATAGTATATGATGGGAGGAAAATAATGTCTCCATTTGAGAGGGCTGTAGGAGAATTAATGTCCTTAAAAGACAGCTATGTTTCAATTTGAACAAGAAGGAGAAGACAATATTTAGAGAGAAGTAGGGGAAAATAGAGTATGTTGAGTACCAAAGTGCACAGTGGAAGGCTTTGAGAAAGTGGATATATATAGGACATAGGGTTATATTAAAGGTTGTGCAGGACAATATATGGATGAGTGTCCATAATAATATATGACCTTGAGCAAATTACTTGCTTTCTTTATGACTTTGTTTCCTCAGTTGTAAAATTCAAACATACCTCATAGGCCATAGTGAGGGTTAAAATAGTTTATGTGTATTAAGTGCTTAAAAATAAGGCCTGTGGCCGGGCGTGGTGGCTCACGCCTGTAATCCCAGCACTTTGGGAGGCCGAGGCGGATGGATCACAAGGTCAAGAGATCAAGATCATCCTGGTCAACATAGTGAAACCCCGTCTCTACTAAAAATACAAAAAATTAGCTGGGCGTGGTGGTGCGTGCCTGTAATCCCAGCTACTCAGGAGGCTGAGGCAGGAGAATTGCCTGAACCCAGGAGGCGGCGGTTGCGGTGAGCCAAGATCACACCATTGCACTCCAGCCTGGGTAACAAGAGTGAAACTCTGTCTCAAAAAAAATTAAAAAATTAAAAAATTAAAAAATAAGGCCTGTAACTGTTAGTGCTCAGTAAATGTTAGTTGTTGTTTTTGTTGTTCCCCTTTTCTTCATAGGAATATTTATAAATTGTGTCAGAAATTTGTGGGACTAGGAGATCAAATATAGGGGAGTTTGCATGCCAGGATGAATAGCCTGTACATTTCTCAAAGTCTCTTTTTTCCTGGTAAATATTCTTAAAATTGATGATGAAAACTTTGAGGTAACACATTCTCTTTTGGAAATTGGATGTCAAAATTTAAAGTATTTACACTATTCTGAAAATATTTTCTTTTTATAAAAGTTTTAAAGTAATATTTTATCATTGACCAATTAAATAATATATAAAGAGACCATTGAAGATAAAGCGATTCTGTACTATTTGATCTTTATTATCTGTTCAGTTCTCCGAAAACCAGTTCCTCCATTAGAAGAGGCCCTCACACAAATTCAGGAATCCAACTTAAAATCAGAAACAAACCTTCCCTTTTCCCATAGAACAACAGTACACTGGAGGTAAGTAATTTATGATTATTGTACATAATTATTACAATAATTGTATAACCATCTAGTTGCTGTGCTTATCAGCCTTTTCATCAGTTACTCCTCACCTCTGTTTTAAAGTTTATTCTTTTATTTTCACAGATTAAATTGAGGTACAATAGAATGTAAATTGCTCCAAGAATGGTCAGAATTCCAATTTGTGGTCCTGAAGTCTTTGGTATTACAAAATACTATGTATGTTACATAATTTTTTGTGGCACACACCATCAAAACTCTTTAAATATTGACACTGATATTTATAATATTGATATCTTTACTGAAAAGAGAAAATTATGTTGAATTGTAATATATTTAGGTAAAAACGGTAACTTTATGGTAGAAATGGGTTTTTCCTCACTGAAAATCTTTCCTGGATGTCTTGAAAAGACTACAGAGTCTCCTGGTTCTTCTACAGGATGGCATAAGTGAATCATCTAGAAGTAATAAGATGGACCAATCAACCACTGGGTACTCTCAGACGTCCTGTATCTTTCATTTATTTATTCCAAACATTTGTTGACATTACTATATGCATAGAAGTAAATCAGGAATTGTAAAAAGATATGGAGAAGTATGTATTATTGTAAAATATAATCCCTAGGGTATAATCTAAAAGATAAGTGAAATAGTGCTTCAGAAATATAGAACAATACCAAATGAGTAATTACAATAATATTTAAAATTCATTTATACAAGTGCATCTATTATGTTAATATTTTACCTGTGCATAATGTTACTCTGTTTTTAGAGTATCTGTGGTCAATAGTTCCCTTGATTAGGACTAGGAACAAGTAAATGTATCCTCTCAATCCTAATTAGGAAAGACCTCATGGAACAGAATTCTTCAGCAAAGCTTTGAAGAAAACAGTAGTTAATTGGAACAAGTGAGTGGATGGCAATTTAGACAGAGAGGTGGGCATGCGCAAAAGCCAAGGGCAATCAAAGGCATGATATACTCTACGAGTAAGAGTATGTGTAGATAATAGAATGAAAAATACAGATGGCTTTGCTAGAGACAAGATTTTAGAGGTAAATGCATCTGTATGCCAAGAAATATAAACTTTATTTTGAGTGTTTAAGAGGAGTCAGTGATAATTTTAGGCAAATTAGTGATAAGATGAAATTTCCTTTTTAAACATATTATTCCAATCCATTGTGAACAATTGTGGATAATGGATTGAAAGCTGGGGATATTCCAATAAATGTGGAAATTATATAGTCTAGAACTCAAGAGAAAGATTTAGGCTAAATATATTTGAAGCCAAGGTAATGGATATGGTGAACCATGGAGAATATGTGTGTGATGAGCACTGAAGAACAGCAACATTTAAGGAAGTGGAAAAAGAAGAGAAGCTTGCAAACAGAATGGCTACAATGGCTCATATAGGACTAGGAGAGATCAGTATCATGGAAACTAGGGAAGGATAAATTTTCATGGGAAAAAAATAGTTTGCAGAGATGAAATGGCTTCTCAAGAATCAGATACATAATGTCTATTGGTCAGGATCCTGGCAGGAAACAGAAAGCACACTTAAATGAGGTGACTGAGAGCTTAAGGGACTACAAAACCAGCAAAGGATAGTAAAGCACCCCCAGAACTGACACAAAGTCAGTATTACCAATACAAACCTAAACTGAAAAGAGCTATACTGTAGAAGAGGGAGCCTGGACAGGTCCTGTGGTCCTAGGGAGAGAAAGAAATGTAAGCCACTGCTAAACCAAGCCCAGCAGGGAGGAAGTCAGAGGAATAAGTATCAAAAACCTCTTTCTTCTGTCACCCTGCTTTCTCTTTCTGGTACCTTCCACTGACCAAACTCAGCCATAAATCAAAGAGCAAGGGATCATTCAGTCTCTTGGAGAAGAGTCAAGTTGAGAAATGTGGCAAATGAATCTGGAGGGGCAAAGAGAGAATATCCAGCATAGAAGCAATGTGTCCACTGTATTTCACAACAAAAAAGTTACTGGCAACTTTTGGCAGACCAATTTCAGTGGAGTGGTGGGGGCAGAAAATAAATTGCGATAAGTTGAAAAATGAAAAGCAAAAAGATTTAGTTTGATTGTGAAAGTAAAAGAGTGATAGGACAATAGCCAATAGAGATGTACAGCCAATTGATGGCTTTTCCCTTAAGAGAGATCTTGTGATATTTCAAATATGAATATTAAAGTGATGAGCAACAGAATTGCAGTCTAGAAAGGTATAGTAGGATAAAATTGTAAGTACTAATTCTGTGTTAGACATTAATTAGCATGGGTTACACATATGAATGAGATATGGTCCTCTGCCTAGCAAGGGTTTGAAATTACGTTATAATACTGTTTGTTGGTCTTTACAATGTAATACACATGTAATACTGTATAATGGGGATTATTACAGAAATATTAGCAAAGTAATAAAAAAGTGCAACATTGAAGGTAGAAAGTAGTCTTAAAGAATGAGTAAGATTTATCAGAGAAGCATGTGTTGGGTTTACACATGTGCAGGGTTACAGTGTTGTGAAAGGCATAGACCACTGAGGAAACAAAACTTATTCAGAGAGGCAGGACTATAGGATGTATTGTTGATGGGACAGGGGATGATCTAGAAAAAGGGATAGATCCTTACTACTTAAACCAGAACAGTATTATTTTGTATGGTGAAGAAAGGATGGATCTGATAATAAAAGGTTTTGAGTGGTGAGAGGATGAGAGAAATGAAAGAATGAAGATAATATGCTTTCACATTGCAAAGAAGTAGCATAAAGAAATAGGAGTTTAAGGATGTTGATCTAAGAACTAAAGTATAGTCTGGGCATAGTGGCTCGCACCTGTAATTTCAGGCTGAGGAAGGAGAATTGATTGAGGCCAGGAGTTCAAGACCAACCTGGACAATATAGCAAGACTCCATCTCTACACACACACAAAATGTAAAAATCAGCGGGACATGCTGGCACACACCTGTAGTTCTAGCTACTCAAGGAGATGACATAGAAGGATCACTTGATCCCAGGAGTTGGAGCCGCAGTGAGCTATGATCACACTACTGTACTCCAGCCTGGGTAATGGAGTGAAATCCTGTCTCAAAAGAAAAAGGAGAAGGAAAAGGAAGAAGAAAAGAAGATGAGGAAGAAGAGGAGGAAGAGGAAGAAAAATTAGAGAATAGACAGAATAGAAGCAGAAAGAAAAGATATTTTATGAAAGGAATAGATGAGTTTGGTATATGATAGGATAAAGGAAATGGAAAAAAGCAAAAAAATCAAAAACAGCTGAAATTTTGGGTCTTAGTGATTAAGGGAATGTGATTAACTTTTTAAAATTCCCTTTGAACCTTCTGAATTGAGGGGATAAATAACCATGTAGTAATGTGTAAAAACAATTTAGCCAAAGATGAGGTAAGAGGCCAGGGCTATTGAAATAGATTTGCAAGTTACGATTGTATATATTGTTGCTTAATTTTCATGCATACTTTTGTACCCCAGCCAGATTGTAATATTCTGAAGGACAGTGTCTCAGTCTTACATATGCTTATAGTGCTTAATTCAGTGCTATCATGTTGGAGGTATTCAATAAATACTTTGAATGGAAAAATACCACTGACATAAATGCACACTTATCAAAATATAAAAATGACCTAAAGTTGGATAGATGAGGAGGATTTTCATCTGAGACGAACACTGGGAAGAAACTTGAACCCAGAAGGAATACTAGCATATGAAAAGGCATAGAATCATAAAAGGCATGTTGTATTAAGGGAGCTACAAGTAGCTCAATTTGGCTTATGTTACAGTGAGAAGACAGTTGTGAGCAGTTAGGTTGGAAAGGAAGCCATGAATTAAATCATGAAGAGCCTTGTTAAGGATTTTGTTTTAAAAACAATTACTGCACGATTTGAAGCAAATACACAATATTTATATGTTGACAATATTGCCAAAATGGAAAAGAATAGGGGAACACTAAAAGTAGAAAAATCAGGTAAAATGGCACTTTAGTTGATGAAAATGATGACTTCTTGAGAGCTATTTAGAAGTTAGAATCAATATGCTTTGGTAACTGTTTAAGACCTGAAATGCTTGGAAGAGTCAAAGATGACTACAGAGATTAGATTTGGTCTGTGAATAAGTGATAAAACCATTTATCAAAATAAAGACCGTGAGGTTAAGAGGGCAGAACTCATGTTAAGTGTTCTTCCCGCAGAAAAAAAAAAAAAAAAAAAACTGATGAATATGAAAGAAGAATAAACAGATATAGGGGAGGGAGTAACTGGAAGGAGAATTATATATTGTAAGTTTGAGACACTTAAGAGATATTCAAGAAACTGACACAAGAGCAGAAAATCAAACACCACATGTTCTCACTCATAGGCGGGTGTTGAACAATGAGAACACATGGATACAGGGAGGGGAGCACTACACACTCGGGTCTGTTAGGGGGAAATAGGGGAGGGACAGCGTGGGGTGGGGAGTTGGGGAGAGAGAGCATGGGGAGAAATGCCAGATATAGGTTAAGGGGAAGAAGGCAGCAAATCACACTGCCACGTGTGTACCTATGCAGCAATCGTGCATGTTCTTCACATGTACCCCAAAATCTAAAATGCAATAAAAAAAAGATATTCAAGAGCCAATTTCTTATAGTTAGAAATCTGGGTCATGAATATAGATATGACAGTCATCAATGAGTGAATAATGTTAAAGCCATGGCAGTATCCACCAGTGGTAGTCTTAGATTCAGCTGAACAATCAAACTCCCTTAACTGCAGTAGGCTGTTTGGCTTCAATTAGAGAACAGAAAACACTGCATGCCAACTAGGTAACATTCTTCATTAGGACGAATTCTTATAGAAAGCCACAAAGCAGTTGAGGGGCTAGTCTTTGCTATGTTTCTACCCTCTACAAGTGACAGCTCAGCATTAAGGCTCATAATGCTTACATTATCACAGTGGGTGGGCATCTATGTACTCTGGTTAAGAGGCCCCTTGTTCTAAAGAGGAACAAATGTTTTTTGTAATCGCTCCATATGATTAGCTTCCATGGAAGAGACATATCCAATAATAAGAATTATCATACTTAGGCAGACTCAAAACTATAGCTTTCTAGCAGGTATCTATGGTTTATTTGCAGTCCTCTCAGTTCAGATGTGGTTTACCAATGAAGGGCCATTTTTACGATAATCGGTGTACCTTGTTACACAGCTTAAATCCTAATAATTATCCAGAAAAATAGATTTATAAAGTTAACTCAAAGTTGAATTGGTTCATAGGGAAGGAGAAGATTTTATTAACCCTTTACTCACAAACTAATATAAATAAGATCACATCGGCAGTATAAGTAAGATTACAAAGAAAGTATGGGTATAGATAAGAAAAAAAGAAAATCATATAACTCAAAAATGTCAACATATAAAGAACAGGCAAAGAAAGAGGAGCTCAAGAAAGAACCTGAGAAGGAACAACCATAGAAGTAAGAAAATAAACAGGAAATGTGATGATATGGAAACCAAGGGAATGAAAATCAAGAAAGATAGTAGTCAAGAAGTACCTATTTTTGCAATTATTAGGTCACTTAGCCGCAAGCAAAGCAGTACATTGAAGGGGTAGAGGTAGAAACCAGATAACAGTTTAAGAGCCAAATGGAAGTTGTGGTAGTAATATAATTTACTACCACATTATATGTAGCAGTATAATTTTAGAGTACTTTATAGAAAAGCTTATCTGAAAACAGATGACAAACAATTAGAGGGAGTCCCAGGATTTATTTAGACTAATTTAAAAAATTCTAAACCAGTTAATATAGAAGTAATGTACATTTTTTATACAGGGCTTCTTTACTTTCAGGTTATTTTTTTCTATCAGTTGTTATACTTTATGTTAATTGGATATTTTCAACTGTAAAAAAACTCTTGTACAGTGAAGAAAAGCGTAGACATTGTTTTTCTTGTTCACCAGTGTACAGTTGCTTGAAGTCTTAGAAGAGTTAAACTGTCAGAACAACTTTGCTTTCCTTATAATAAACATGTAGATATGTTACAGCAAGTCTATGCTAGAATCATTAAATAACACATCATCTTTGTTTTATGAGAAATGATCTTCATTCCTCATTAGAATACCTAGTTAGTTTTCATGTCATTTTAGTATACTATTTTGACTGTGACTTCATGATATCTGTATCTATGTATGTGTATGTTTATATATATCACCTAAATTTTATGTTTTGGAAAACAACAAGTATATACAATGTATAGTGAGAGCACGATTATTAACTTATTAAAATGTTGGACTTTTCTCCACAGATAACCAACAATATTAAGTAATGTATATGAAAGTGCTTTGTAAACTATGAAATTCTATACAAATATGAAATATTTGAATATTAAGAATCAGGTGTTAGGTTAATGGACATATTTTTATTTATTGAAAATATAATAAAGCTGAAAACACTGATAAGCTACCATCACATTAAGAATACATTTTCAGTGGAATATAAACCTAAATGTGCTAAGACATAAAGTAATGCCAAGAAATAAGGGACTTACAAAGAAGCAGAGGTATATCAGTAAGATTATTCTAATGTGGAAAATGTTATTGGTAGATAAAAATAAAATGTTGGCAATGTAATAATCTCAAAGAGAAAAAATATATATGATAAAGTGCAGGGCATTTAATGCTTAAGGCCCTCAAAAAATTAGAGAATATGTTCTCATGAACATAGAAGCTGCTTCAGCTTCTATATTCTTATATCAGTGAGGTATAAGAATATTAATAAGTGACTAAAATTAAAAATATAAGTAATAATTAGTCTTCTGTCACCACCAAATCCTTATCATAAAGCTAATATGCTTGACCATTCTGGAAGGTGTAAGGTAAAAGGAGATACATTATCTCCCATATTAAATGGTTAAACTTTAATAAAATGATACTGTTAGATATCTATCTCCAATATCCATGTATTTGTGGTGAGGCAGTTGATCCTGAACCACGTGCTACACTGAGAAATCTGGCCAGAGCTGAGTAGTTATCTACTGACCTCTATTTCCCCTTTGAACTCATGCTTTAACCCAGATTTTCCAGCCTATGTTCATGTATCTGTATGAGTAAAAAGTTTCTGAGAAGTGAAAATACTCCAAGAGCCAGGAATAAGAAACGGCAAACTTGATTAAGCTATGTACATTTTTCAGTCCATATGAGAGGACACTGGTTGATCAAAGGAAAATCATGCATGGACCCTATGGACAAAAAAATAACATGAATTAAAAGCCTAGAGACAGCACAATAAACCAAAAATAAAATCTTAATAAGGCTGTCTCTCTACCTGCCTATCCAAATGCTTTTCCACCTGTGCAGATCCATTCCTACCTGTCCAGCCATCTCCACATCTGACCCCTATTTACCTGATCAGCTGTCTCCTTCGCGGGTCCCATTGTGGTCCCACCGCTCCCAAATTCTTCCTAGCTACCCAACTGTTTCTCCTACCCGCCAGCCCCATACACTGCCTATCCATCCATCTGTCCCCTCTACTCTTCCAAAGACCTTTGCACCAGCCCCATTACTGTCTTACCCAATTAAATATCGTCCTCATCCTCCAACCCCAGCTACTTCCAACATTTCTAGCAGTTTAGCTCATCTGCCAGCACCAATTCCTTCTGGCCCACCTGGCCATCTACCCCACCCACCCCAGAGTTCTCCAATCATTCCTGACCCTGACTCACAGAACAAGTTATTTTACAAAACTTTCAGACCCAAACATTTCCTTCCAGCACAGCCTTCTACCACAGCCACTCTAATGCCTGCCCTTGTTCATCGTTCCCTTCCAGCTCCACTGGTTGTTTCCACAACCCCTTTGGAACCTCTCCCTGTTTTGAAGCCTTCCTGTTTATCCAGTCATCCCCCTTATCAACCAGTCCCCACTCTTTCTTATGTCACTCCGTTGCCTACACATCCTGCTAACGTGGATCCTTTTCAGTCAGTCCAGCAAGCTGTTCCACAAGCCACAGCATTGTCAGATCAGCCCCAGGCCTTTGTAGATCATCCACCAGCCTCAGTTCTCTCCCTTGTACCTCCTTGTCATTCTCCATCTTCTTCTTTGCCTTCATCTCCTTCTACTTCCACATCCTCTTCTTCAGCCTGTATACCGTTTTCTTCTTCCTCATCCATTCTTTCCTCTTCTTTGACTTCCTCTTCTACTTCTCCATCCTTACCTCCTTCATCTATCCTTCTTTTTTCCTCTCCTTTGCATTCATCTTCCTCCCCATGTTTGCCTCCAACTTATTTAGCTTTTCCCTCTCCAGTTTCTCCTGTTACTTCTTCATGATTTCCTCTTCCTTTCCCCCTATTCTTCACTCTCCCTCTGTTTCTACCTCCCCATCTCCTTTTATTCCTATCCACCCCTTCAATCCTCCTCACTGGGGGAAGAAAGTAGAGAAGAGAAGAGAAGAAAGTGGAGTAGAGAAGAAAGGAATAGAGAAGAAAAAAGTTGAGAGACAACAACTTTAAAGGTAAATAAATTGAGTTTACTAGATATTTTGTAGATATAGCAATATTTTGTTTGGGAAGGGTGACTGAGGGGGAAGGATTATGTAAGAGTAGAAAAATATAAAAGGAAGAGACAGAAACATATCCTCAGTGTTCAGGAACTTGTATCACATACATTCTTGCTCTCCCTCATTAATGGGTGATCACATAGGGATAGTTAAGAATCTAGTAATCATTGACCTTGACTACTCCAGTCTGTCCAAATAAAGATATATATGGATATTGGAGATAGTTAATAGGTATATGTCACATGTGGCCATTGTCAACTTCCAAAACATTTTTATCCTCATCGAAGTGGAAATAATATAATTGAATTAGGAATAAATGCTCTTGGGATTCACACTGCCAGACCCAGTGCAGCAGCATTCAGCTATATAACAGTGTCATCCCCATTCTATTCTCCCCCAAAAATTCTCTTTAGTTCTTTGCTTTCATTTTGTATATATACTGAAATGTAACATGCTGTAGGTTTGCAGAAGATAAGAAATTCTAATAGAAGATGAGGTCATGCACTGAAAATGTTTAGGTGGCCCTTTAGCACAGTAAAGGTAGACTCTATATGAAAGGTAAACTTCTGTGGCATAAAAACCATCCTGAAACAACTGAAAATAAGTGAGTACATGGCCTCCATTGAGGAATATCCAGGTTCCCAAAGCCAGATAAATAGGGTGAAAATTCCTGTTGACCCTGACAGGCAGTTTTTATATTTTCTATCTGCTTGAATCTTCAGCCAACACTAATAGGGGTATAGATTTTTTCCTAACTTACTATCCATTATGTCATCTCAGAAAGAATGGTAATGCAGCATATTATTATCCATATAAGAATGCTCTTAAAGAACTGAGGGCTAACTCTACACAGGAATTACTTCTACTCTTATCCCAGATGAGAGAGGGATAGGTTATAATAATCAAAACCATGAATTACTAGTCATTCCTATATGAAGGTGTTCTTTATTGGCACTTTAGTCTCACAACTATTTTTATTCTGTTGATTGCCTTAATTTCTCATTCTAACATGTCTATATTTCTCCAATATCCTTATATGTGGTTATCTGGACAAACACACATATTACACAAATGTGTCATGTATATACATATAAAAAGAAGGTAACTTTATTTAAATGTAGTAAGCACTTTTTTATGTCTGTTTGACAGAGCTATAGATTCTGCCTTGCCTTCAGCTTTATCAGAAAATGATTACAAGCATCAGAAACAACTCCTGTCAAAAACCAATTGTGATAAAGAAATGAATGAAAATATGAAGGCAACTTTGGCTACTAACAAAAATGTGTTCCAGCTTAAACTGGAGGAAACTCAGAAACTCCTAGAAGATCAGCATCTAAGCAGTTTGCAAGTATGAAACTATAAAGATGTTATTAATATTTTAATTCCTAGTACTAATTCTGCTCCACTTTTGTAGTGTTCTCCACTAAAGAAATATGTTACAAGCTGAGAATAGGCCATGAAAGAGAATGTGGTTGAATCAGCACAAATTCATCATAGAAACTACAGAATAATTTTTTAGTTTTTTCCTTACCTTTGAAAGTACAATGTAATGTATTATTGTTAGAGGCTGTATTATAAAAAGCAACCAGAAAATTATAATACATGTAGATATTAGTTTCTTAATGGAAATATGGCAGAATTCACTAGAAATGATATTTCGAGTCTATTAGGGCATATACTTTGTTAACAGTTTTTTCTACAAGTGAATATAGATTTCAACTGATACTCCTACATGTCCATCCATGAACTTTATTTTCCATTAATAATTATACACATTTATGAGATTTTTAATAAACCAATATCAAGATTAAATTCATAACATTGGCCTGATTCATCCAATAATTAATCAACCATGGTAAGGCTAAAAAAGCAAAACAGAAGATTCCTGCCAGCTATGATGATGTGCCTTCCTGCCATAAACAACTATAATTATGAATAAAAATATATAAAACAACTGCTTTTAGACGTGGGACAGAGGTAGTACAGGATATGATCTTGAAAAGGGGAAAGAAATGATGTAAGCCTTATGATCACCTAGGCTTTCTACCTAGGTATATTGCCTGAATAAGCCTTAAAAAGATCTACTAGTAACCTAGCTACCCATTAAACAAAAAAACTTAACACTTTTTTTTTGAGACATGAGTCTCGCTCTGTTGCCAGGCTGGAGTGCAGTAGTGCGATCTCGGCTTACTGCAACCTCTGCCTCCTGGGTTTAAGCAATTCTGCCTCACCCTTCCAAGCAGCTGGGACTGTAGGCATGCACAACCATGCCCAACTAATTTTTGTATTTTTAGAAGAGATGAGGTTTCACCATGTTGGCCAGGATGGTCTCAATCTCTTGACCTCATGATCTGCCCACCTCAGCCTCCTGAAGTGCTGGGATTATAGGCGTGAGCTACCGCTTCCAGCCAACACTTTCATAAAGAAGACTATGAAATCCATACATTCAATAACATAATGCTCACAGTTGCAGCATTCAATCAAAACTTACTAGACATATGAAGAATCAGGAAAATATGACCGTAACCAGGAAAAAAGTAGTCAGTAGCAGACAGAAATAACAGAAATGATGTAATTAACCAACAAGGAATTTTAAAGTATTTTTATAAATATTTTCAAGGAATTAAAGTTAAAATGTACGTAAGAAAGACAGTTTAAAAAATAAACAGACCTTCTAGATCTGAAAATTATAATATCAGAAATGAAAAATTTACTGGATGGGCTTAACTTTGCAGTCATTGCAGAACAAAAGATTAGTGGACTTGAAAACATAGCAATAGAAATTATCCAAGCTGGCTGGATGCAGTGGCTCATGCCTGTAATTCCAGCACTTTGGGAGGTTGAGGCAGATGGATCACTTTTGGTCAGGAGTTCAAGACCAGCCTGACCAACATGAAGAAACCCTGTGTCTACTAAAAATACAAAATTAGCTGGGCATGGTGGCACATGCCTGTAGTCCTAGCTACTCAGGAGGCTGAGGCAAGAGAATCACCTGAACCCGGGAGGCAGAGGTTGCAGTGAGCCAAGATCACACCATTGCACTCCAGCCTGGGCAACAAGAGTAAAACTCTGTCTCAAGAAAAAAAAAGAAAGAAAGAAAGAAAAAAGAAATTACCCAAGCTGAAGCTTTGGGAGAAAAAGGCTGGGAAAAAAATGAGCAGTTGTTAGTGACCTGTGAGAATATTATAAAGCCATCAACACTTCTTTTTTTTTTTTTTTTTTTTTTTTTTTTTTTGAGATAGAGTCTCGCTCTGTCACCCATGCTGGAGTGCAGTAGTGCAATCTTGGCTCACTGAAACCTCCACCTCCTGGGGTGAAGTGATTCTCCTGCCTCAGCCTCCTGAGCTGGGACTACAGGCAAATGCCATCACACCCAGCTAATTTTTTTGTATTTTAAAGTAGAGACAGGCTTTCACTGTGTTACCCAGGATGGTCTCAATCCCCTGACCTTGCAATCTGCCCACCTCGGCCTCCCAAAGAGCTGGGATTACAGGCATGAGCCACTGTTCCAGCCAACACATTTAATTAAAATTTAAATAAAATTTTACAAAGTGAGAGAAGATATATTTAAAGAAACCATGTCTGGAAATGTTTCAAATTTGGTGAAAATTATAAATCTACAGTCTCAAGAAGTTCAACAAACTCCAAGAAGGATAAGTGTATGCACATACACATACCACAGAAAGGCACATAAAAATCAGGTTAAAGCCAGAGGGAAAAAAGATGTGTTACATGCAGGGCAATAAACAGAAGATGGACCGCTAATATAACTTACACAAGCAAAACTTGAAGTTGATCATAATGTTTCATTATTTAGTGGAAAAATTTCTGAAGAAAAGTATTGTTTATGAAATCAAAAGTTGCCAAACTTCTTTTGAGGTGTTTTGGGAGAGGAAGCAATCACAGACTTATGCAAACAGAAATCTTAGAGTCATGGATATCATACATACTTATATCTACAAGGATCTTCTAACCGAAATTTCTGTGTCTGACTAGACAGAACCTCAAAGGATGCCTTCCAGGCCTAATTTCATCATCATTATCAGTTAAAATAACTTAGTTCCAAGAATAGGCATCGAAGTAGCTGTGCTTTATTTTGTTCCCCTGTTTGGGTTGAGTGAGTATCACTTTAAGAAGAGTGCCAAAGGATGTGATAAATAGGGGCTAAATGCTAAAAATATAAAACTCTCATGAATAATTTTCAAAATGTATTCCGTAATACTAAATCAATAAGGATTAGCTGTATAAATTAAAATATTTTTTTATTCTGTAATTTATTTCCTTTATTTATTGATTTACTTTCTGAGCTAGAAAAATAATGTACTGTTTATAAATTTACATATTTTAGATAAATCTAAAATGTATGATAAATCTTAAGGGATATCAATTTTCTTTCCATTCAGCATTTTGACTATATATACAATTTAATGTCTTCAAAAAATCTCTATGTATGTGATATAGATTAATACATTCTAGATATGTATGAGAAAATAGAAATATTTTCAAACATTTACCATACTTTGAAGTAATTTTGAAATTTTATTAAAGACTGATAAATTTCATGTAATTTTTTGTGAAATAGTGATGAAAATGTCTGGAATTTATGGAAGCTACTACTATGCTAAACCTCCAAAAAGGAGTCATTAAAGTCAATACATTTTGAGCCTAAACCCCATATGAGAATTACCTAGGGAATTTAAATAATAACAATATATGGACCTTATCCAAGTATTAAATCAGCAGGACCCATAGTTCTTTATGTAATTTTACATAGTTCTTTATGTAATTTCAGTATGTAGCTAGAATTAAAAACCTTACTACAGTTCACAGAATTGAGTTTTATAAAAAGATGTAGTTCCTACTAACAGGAAGCTCACTTTAGAATCACAGAGCTTTTAGGCTCTGTGAATGTTTCAGGAAAAAATACAATTTATAAATAATTTTTTTTTCAGAATTTCACTTGCTGTTACTAAGCTTTCAAGAAACCTCATATTCTAAATGGAATGGCAATAACAAAATTATTTTATAAGTTATAACTGTGGCTAGAATAAGTGGGTATTACTTTAGAAGCTGAAGTCAAAGCAAGCATACTTTATTATAAGTCTTTGTTACCTCCCTATTTTTTACCTTGAGGATTGATGCAGGGATAAGAATTACTTATATACCTACAATATTTATAGTCATTTTCCTCTATATGCAAGGAGAATTGGGCTCAGTAACAATGGTATGTTGAATCATTGATACTGGCATTTAAAAGTTTATAAACTGCTGGGCACAGTAGCTCATGCCTGTAATCCCAACACTTTGGGAGGCCGAGGCAGGTGGATCACGAGGTCAAGAGATCGAGACCATCCTGGTCAACATGGTGAAACCCCGTCTCTCTACTAAAAATACAAAAAAAAAAAAAAAAAAAAAAAAAAATTAGCTGGGCATGGTGGCAGGTGCCTGTAATCCCAGCTACTCAGGAGGCTGAGGCAGGAGAATTGCCTGAAACCAGGAGGCGGACGTTGCGGTGAGCCGAGATCACGCCATTGCACTCCAGCCCGGGTAACAAGAGCAAAACTCTGTCTCAAAAAAAAAAAGTTTATAAACTATAAAACAATGTTGGGGTGTTTTTTGTTTTTCAGAAATTTTGTGATGAAGTTAATCAGATAACCAATTCTGAAACCCTCTCAAGTATAGACAGTCTTGAGGCTACAGAACATGAAGAAATATATTTAACACTTAATAAGGAACATTCTACATCCATCCAGCGGAATATCATTTCCCTCAAATCAGCAGATCCTCAATCAACTAATCTAAGCTGCTTTGATGAAGATAAACTGGCATTCTCTAAAGCTCAACATATAAATAATTGGCTTACAAATTTAGATGCTTCAAATACTCAGAATGTCACACCTTTCTCAGATATTTTAAATAAATCTAATGTTCTACCTTCATGGGAATGTTTTAATAGTAAAGAAAAAAATCCATCTCCTTTGAATGGAACAGTGGAAAGAGCCACAAATACCGCTAATAATTCAATAACCTTTGTATCTACCCCACCCATATTTGTACTAGATAAAAAAAGTGAAAAGACCTCTGAAACTAGCACTCTGAGGACAACTGATACCATGTCTGGAGCATTCAAAAGGGAGAGGCCATTAGTTACTGAGAGCCCAACATTTAAATTTAGCAAATACCGAAGCACTTTGGATTCTCTAACCCAGGAAGTGGCTACATTTCCAGATCAAGAGAAATATTCTGAATTAAATCAAGAAAATGGAACTACTTCAATTCCTACTTCATGTGTACCACTGGCAACACCTTTCATTTTGCCATCTAATACACAGTCAGCTAGACCTTTAGCAAAGAACAGTATACACATAAAAGAAATTGATGCAGTGCAGTGTTCTGATAAGCTAGATGAATTGAAAGATGGTAAAGAAGAAAACATAAAATATTTTAATTGTCATAAGGGAGAGTTGCCTTTATTTTCAGACAGTTTTCAAGATGCCTATATACCTCACAATCCCGATTCAAAAGATGAAAAACAAAAATTAGCTGAAACATCATCCTTGTCGAATGTAACTTCTAAATATGACTTAGTTGGCCAACAAAAGAAAATGAAATGCAACATCCATGAGAGAAATGGTGTGAGATTTCTTAAAAGTATTTTAAAGAAAGAATCTAAATATGAACATGGTTATCTTAAGGCATTAATTATAAATCAGAGCTTTAAGTTTGGAAATCAAAAAGCAGCAGCTATCAGAGATAGTATTGAATTAACAAAGGAAAAGGAAAAAGGTCCAGAAATTCCAAAGACTATTAAAAAATTGAGGTGGTTTGATGAAACTGCTCATATAGAAAACAGTGCTGAAGACAATCATTCACTGAAGAATAAAACAGGAATAACTCAGCAGCATTCTCAACAATTCCACATTGAAAGTGGTGCTGGAAGCAACGTAATTAGTGTTTCTGCTTGTGCTGTAAATTCTGCTGATAGAAAGAAGTCCAGGGAGGATTCTGTCTCTGAAAATGTTATGACTCTAGAAGGATCTGGAGCAGACCATGTGCCTTTGAACTGTTTTATACCTTCAGGTTATAACTTTGCTAAACATGCCTGGCCAGCCTCAAAAAAAGAGGAAAGTAAAATCTTTGTACATAATAATGATTCTAAAACTCAGCAAGGTAAGCCACAAAGAGGTGTAGCAAAAATAATTAGAAAAACAGGATCTGCATCTGCAAAAGTTCAATCAGGCTTTATATGTACAAACAGAAAAGGCACTGTCATTCAACCACAATCTGCAAGCAAAGTCAACATATTTAAACAGCCTCAGGGAAAATTAATTATACCTCATCCTTCTCCTCAATCTACATCAAATATTAGAAATGGTGAAAATACACAAGTGTCTCAGTGTCAATCAGTAACACCTGAAAATCCTCAAAACATTATGACACATAACTGTTTTAATTTAAAACATGTGCTTCCAACAGAACACAATTTGAACCAGTGGAATCAAGAAAGTAGTTCTCCACTCTCAAATGCTTATTCTGACCTAGTCACTGTGATACCATCATTGCCGTCATATTGTTCTTCAGAGTGCCAAACTTTTGCAAAAATAAATCATTCAAATGGCACTCGAGCAGTTGCCCAGCAAGATGGAACATTATATTGCACCCAAAGAAGTCCTGTTTGTGAAGAAAGTTATCAGTCTGTGACTCTTAGAACTACTGAAGAAGAATCTGTTCCCTTATGGAAAAGAGGGCATAATATCCTGCATCAAAATAAGAGGGCTGCAGGTAAGAATAAATTTGTATCTTTTTATAGATAAAATGTACACCTTTGTTAAATTCATGTAAAATTTTTTCTATTTAGGTATAGCATACATACTACCCAAATATTAAACAATAGCTTTATAGAAATAACTTACCTCCAGGCCAAGCTCAGGCAGGCGGATCACTTTGTGGCCAGGAGTTTAAGACCAGTCTGACCAACAGTGAAATCCCATCTTTACTAATACAAAAGTTAGCCCGGCATGGTGGTGCGTGCCTATAGTTCCAGCTACTCGGGAGGCTGAGGCAGAAGAATCCCTTGAACCTGGAGGCAGAGGTTGCAGTGAGCCAAGATCATGTCACTGACGGTGGCTCTTGGCTATAATCCCAGCGCTTTGGGAGGCCAAGGCAGGCAGATTTACTTGAAGTCAGGAGTTGAAGACCAGCCTGGCCAACATGGCAAAACCCTGTCTCTACAAAAATACAAAAATTCGCCGGGCATGGTGGCACATGCCTGTAATCCCAGCTGTGTGGGAGGCTGAGGCAGAAGAATCACTTGAACCTGGAGCCCAGGAGACAGAGGTTGCAGTGAGCTGAGATGGCGCACCACTGCACTCCAGCCTGGGCAACAGAGCCAGACTCCATCTCAAACAAAACAAAACAAAACAAAACAAAATTGTGACATTAGTAGCTGAAACTTTTAAGAGAATGACCCAAACTGTGCTCAGCTGAAATTAGAAACTTCTTCCAGCCTCCATTTTTTTCCATGATGTTTCCTGTTTATTTCTCTTTTTTATTTTTTTATTGCATTTTAGGTTTTGGGGTACATGTGAAGAACATGCAAGATTGTTGCATAAGTACACACGTGGCAGTGTGATTTGCTGCCTTCCTCCCCTTTACCTATATCTGGCATTTCTCCCCATGCTATCTCTCCCCAACTCCCCAGCCACCAATGTCCCTCCCCATTTCCCCTCAACAGACCCCAGTGTGTAGTGCTCCCCTCCCTGTGTCCATGTGTTCTCATTGATCAACACCCGCCTATGAGTGAGAACATGTGGTGTTTGATTTTCTGCTCCTGTGTCAGTTTGCTGAGAATGATGGTTTCCAGGTTCATCCATGTCCCTACAAAGGACACGAACTCATCGTTTTTGATGGCTGCATAATATTCCATGGTGTATATGTGCCACATTCTCCCTGTCCAGCCTATCATCGATGGGTATTTGGGTTGGTTCCAGGTCTTTGCTATTGTAAACAGTGCCAAAATGAACATTTATGTGCATGCGTCCTTATAGTAGAATGATTTATAATCCTTTGGATATATACCCAGTAATGGGATTGCTGGGCCAAATGGAATTTCTATTTCTAGGTCCTTGAGGAATCGCCACACTGTCTTCCACAATGGTTGAACTAATTTACACTCCCCACAACAGTGTAAAAGTGTTCCTATTTCTCCACATCCTCTCCAGCATCTGCTGTCTCCGGATTTTTTAATGATCACCATTCTAACTGGCGTGAGATGGTATCTCAATGTGGTTTTGATTTGCATTTCTCTAATGACTAGTGATGATGAGCATTTTTTCATATGTTTGTTGGACTCATGTATGTCTTCTTTTTAAAAGTGTCTGTTCATATCCTTTGCCTACTTTTGAATGGGCTTGTTTTTTTTGTTGTAAATCTGTTTTAGCTCTTTGTAATTCTGGATATCAGCCCTTTGTCAGATGGGTAAACTGCAAAAAGTTTTTCCCATTCTGTTGGTTGCCGACTCACTCTAATGACTGTTTCTTTTGCTGTGCAGAAGCTGTGGAGTTTGATTAGGTCCCATTTGTCTATTTTGGCTTTTGTTGCCAATGCTTTTGGGGTTTTGGTCATGAAGTCATTGCCTACACATATGTCCTGAATGGTTTTGCCTAGATTTTCTTCTAGGGTTTTTATGGTGTTAGGTCTTATGCGTAAGTCTTTAATCCATCTGGAGTTAATTTTAGTGTAAGGCGTCAGGAAGTCCTGTTAGTTTAAAAGAGGCAGGACAAAGAATAGGATCTGATTTTTCGTCCCATATTATTCTGTCATTACTAATGTAGTCAAATATTCCATCAAAGTAAGCACAGTGAAAAATATTGTTTAAATTATTATAAACAAGTGAATACATGTAGTTTTACTTTAAAATGTTTGTTAAATTGCTATAAACTAATATTAATTAGAGGTACCTAATTCTCCCATTTTCTTTCCCAAAGTGTGGCAACTCTGCTTTTATCTGCTGACTATTGGTTTTTATGAGAGCAAAAAAAAGGATATCATTGCCTTGAAATATTTTTGAAAATTAATTCTCTATAGAATGCCATTGCCCTTACTAGCTGGTTGATTCTTCATAAAGTTTCTCTCCTCCTATGAGGGAATAAACTACAAGGCAATACATTTTCCTGCCAATAGGAAACAGTTGCATATTGAGAAAAAGTTAGGACTGGAGTCTGAAGGCAATCAGAAAAACAACTTTTTCCAAAGGTACGAATAAATACTGATATATAATGAGAGTTAAAATTTAATATTCAAAGTCAGCTTCAATCAAACCATGAGTTTTTAAGGACAAGGGACGTTTGTGTAATTCATCACTGTATTCGCAAATTCTAACAGTGCCTGGCACTTAGCAGTCACCCAGACTCTACTTGAATTTAATGGATAGAAGCCACATTAGTAGAAGGGAAGCTAAATGCAGACACTATAATCTAAAAATCTTCAATACTTGTCTACAAAAATCTAGGTTTTAAAAAATTATTTCTCTCACTAAAATTATGATTTCTTATCCAGTCATTTCAGAATGTAACTTTAGTTTTCACAACACTTTAAAAAAAATGAAGGTGTTGTACAGATTAAATATTCTAAAATAAAAATGATGTTTACTCTCTTTGAGTTTCTACCTTGTACCAGTCACAGGACTAAGTGTTTTATACTTACTTTCTTATTTAAATCTGATAAGAATACTAAGAAATAAATATTTTTAAAAACACTGTTTTGCAAAGAAGTAAGCAGAATTGCCCAAGGTCAAGAGCTAGTAAGTAGCAGAACTGGTATTTTGAGCCAGATCTCTATGGTTCCAAGTCCTGTGCTTCTTCTACTAAAGCCATATAGTAAATATAATTATTAAGCAAGTATCATATATCATACTCTGTTAACTGGGAAAAATATTAGGAAACTTATAAAGTTTCCCAATAGTTTTTGTACAAAAGAGTAGCATATTAAAATTATCTGATCCTCTGATAAAGGAATGGGATATGTTTATTTATCTGGAGAAACCAGTATTTTCCTGACGTTTAATCAAAGGAGGTAGTTCTCCCCTTCTCAAATCCTAAAACATTTCCACCAAACTTATCAGTTATTCTAATTTGTTTTCAATTCTCTATTTGGACCCAATTACATATCCAGGAATCGTATCATATTTCTAGGGTAAAATACATAGCTATCCATTAGTAACAGACAGTGCTAAGTTCTTTCTCTGTCCGTGTCATTTTCCTACAAAATTTCTCTCAGTTGACACCTTTTCCCTTAAGGTTTGTTTATATCTTTATCTCAGCCCCCGGTGGGCTTATTCTTTAACAATCTCTGTTCTTTTTTAGATGAGAAAGCCTGTAAGTTATGCTATGAGGAATTGATTTGCTCTTCTAGATATGGGCTCATATAACTTAAGTGTTTCCAGGCATGTTACTTTCTTTAGGCTTTGTAACTTCAAGCAATCCTTTTATCATTAGTCAACAATGTTTTCCAATCTCTCCCCCTCTTCACAAAGCTCACTCTTCCAGTCCTGCTCATTTATTCTAATTAATCTCCCAAAAATTGACAAAATGGGGCCATGTGAATGCCTTCATCTTTTCCTTCATCCACCTCCAAGCATCTCTTATTTCACTTATATGCTTAAGTTTTATCTCAAAGGAAACAAGCATGAAGCTATATAGAGTTGAGATAGTGGAGCAGAATCTCACAGCAAGAGAATATTGAATCAAGAATACCAAAAGAGGATTTACTTTTAGAAATTTAATCCATACATGGTTTCTTCTATTTCATTCATATTTTAAACCTTTTCTTCCCTACTAGATCGTTGCTCTAAATCTAATCTCCCACCAAAAAGTCTCATAGTTCTGCTATTCAAGTCAATGTCATAGATCTTACCCTTAATGGCTAAACTACTTGAAGAGAATGGCTTATACACATTGACACTGCATCCTCCTTGTTCATTGTGTATTAAATTGTTTTTATTTAAAAATATTTTTAGCATAGCAAAGAACATATATTGTACAAATCTCTGTGTATCAAAGTTGCTGCATACGATATAATATAAATGATGCTATCTGGAGTTGTGCAACTGTATGTAGCAGCCCTGTGTGTAACCCTCCCAGATCCTGTTCATCTTCTTATCTCCCCAGAGATAATCACTATTCTGAGTTTGATGTTTGTCATTACCATTTCTGCTTACTTATGTTACCCATGGATATATCCATTAGGCATATAGTACTGTTTTACATATTTTAAACTTTTATATGAGTTTATTAATGTATTCTAACTACAACTTTTCCTCCAATTTTAGAAATTTATTTCCATTGATATATGGTTTGAGAAAAATGAGCAGTGAAAGTATTTTATGAGGAGAGAGAAGTGGGGAAATTGGATGTTTGGGGAGGATGTTTGAAATAATTATTTCAAAGGAAGGAGAGTGAATTTATGAGAGAAACAGTAGGAATACTCAGTAATGTCAACCATCAGAAAATGATGATCATAAATCTACAATAGAGCCAATATACCTGGCACATTGGTGTGAATTTTCTGTGCTAATTAGAAGGAGGCAGAGGAAAAGCAAATATTTTCCCCCCGAGGGAGGGAGAGTTGTTTGATTGTTGTGACAAAAAGACTAAGAGGCAAAGGGTTCAGGATACTGGTAAAAGAACTATGGCAATGATGAACCTGGCCAGGAAGGGTGGCTCATGCCCATAATCCCAGAACTTTGGGAGACTGGGAAGACGGCTTGAGTCCAAGCGTTTAAG